GAGGAGGAGGAGGAGGAGGAGGAGGAGGAGGAGGAGTGGAGGAGGAGGAGGAGGAGGAGGAGGAGAGAGGAGGAGGAGAGTGGGAGGAGGAGGAGGAGGAGGTCGAGGCAGGAGCCGGCCGCCCACGTTGCGAACACGGATGGCCAGACAAGGAGCTCTACGTAGATGAGTCAAGCCCCATCAGCAATGCTCCACCCGTCGAAGGAAAAGGGGGAGGAGAAGAGGAAATGGGCAGCCGCACGCTGTCGCCAAAAGCGTCCTGGCCTCCAGCCGCCCCGCAAGCCCGGATCAATGAAGAGGCGACGCAGCTCCGAGGATAGGGAAGAGAGAAAGTCGGGAGCGGCCAAGAGGGGGGTGTCCAAGAGGGGGGGGGTGCAAATCGTGGCCAGCGGCATGTGCGCGGCCCAGCGGGGGGACCGGGGACGTAATGAAATGAGAGGCGCCGTGAAATCTGGGGAAATACGGTAGAGGGAAACAATTAGTGAACACCCCTCCTGCCCCCCAAACTCAAAGTTGGCACGCGGGGGGAGACTGCGGTCGAGGTGCAACTCATCAGACCCACCGCCAACTTCGAACTTTGGGGGAGGGGGAGGCGTTCACAGATGAATGTGGCATGAGTGTTCGCTAATTTTTGTCCGAGGCCTGTATCATGGCTCCCGCCATGATATCCACCCCCCCTAGTCATCACCCCCCTCTTTGCCGCCCCCGAGAAAGGAGGAGGGGCAAGGAGGAGGGGCCAGCCGGGCCTCGAGCCCGCTCCGCGCGCTGCGGAGGCAGGGCAAGCAGTCATGCCTTCTGGCCTCGGAGCTTCGAGCTGTATCATTCGGGGGAGGAGGAGGAGGAGGAGGAGGAGGAGGAGGAGGAGGATGAGGAGGATGAGGAAAAGGAGGAGGAGGAGGATGAGGAAAAGGAGGAGGAGGAGGAAAAGGAGGAGGAGGAGGAGGAGGAGGAAAAGGAGGAGGAGGAGGAAAAGGAGGAGGAGGAGGAGGGCAGGACGGGACAGCGGGCCGAGGAGGCAGAAGGCATCATCATCATCATCATCATCACCATCATCGCATTCACCGTCGTCGTCGTCGTCATCGTCATCATCATCAACAGCAGCAGCATCATCGCCGTCGTCCATCATCAATATCATCAGCATCATCAGCATAATCATCAGCATCATCATTATAATCACCATCATCATGAACATCATCACCTTCATCATCAGCAGCAGAGTGACATCACCACCATCGTCATGATCGTACTCGTACTCGTCCTCATCATCATCATCATCATCATCATCATCATCATCAGCACCAGCACCATCGCCATGGCCATCGGTATCATCTTCAACAACAACTTCACTGTCGTAGTCCTCCTGATCACCACCATCACAAGCAGAATGGTAACCCTCCTCATCCGCATCATCAAATGTATCATCAGCAGCAGCATCATCATCAGCATCATCATCATTATCAGTATGATCATCATCATCATCATCATCATCGCATACATCGACGTCGTCATCATATTTCACATCATCATCATCATCAGCATCAGCATCATCGCCATCATCATCAGCATCATCATCATAATCAGCATCACCATCAGCAACATCGTCGTCGTCCGCATCATGATCATCAACAGCAACATCACAGCCGTAATCATCATGATCACGATCATGGGAGACACGTTGATCACCCTCCTCTTCTCCGATCTTCATTCTTATCATCTTCATCATCAACAGCAACAGCATCATCAACATCGTCATCATCATAGTTGTCCTCATCATCATCACCAGCATCGTCGCCATCATCATCGACATCATCATCCACAACAGTCGTAGTCCTCATGATCATTACCACCACCATCATACTAATCACCCTCCTCCCCTCACATCGTCATCATCATCATCATCACCAACACCACCATCATCATCATCATCACCAGCATCATCCTCGTCATCATCATGATATGATCATCATCACCTTCTTCTCATCATCGTCGTTATAATCGTCATCAGCGTTATCATCACAATGGTTTTTCACCACCATCGTACGCACAAAGATCACCCTCCCTCCACCTCA